ATAAGAAATTATGATGTGTAACGATAGTTTCTCCATCTAGGTGATTTTTGTGGTTACTAATTTCAGAATGAATGGTTGAGCAGATCCTGAAGGAAATATTGGATCCATGAGATCTCTGGAAGCCCTTGTATTTTTTAAAAGTAAAAATGCAGTAATAATATATACGGCCCGGTATTTGATTATACTATAGTTTTACAGTATAAAAGTGTAAAACCAGTAATTTACTGTCAAGTACTTCTAATATTCACTAGGATGGGCAACTCACATCTGACTCTGCTACTAATTACACAAACATATTTTAGTTTATATAGTGTGACGTAGAAACCTTCGAAACACATAATAGGACCAGGTTTCTAGAGTACAGAGCCTAGATGGAAGGCAGCTAGTCAGCAGAACCAACCGCCAACTCTCGTTTGATCGATGGATGAGATTTAACCATCACCCCCACACACACACACACACTGTAGATCCGACACGTAGATCCATAGTGCAACAAACTAACAATTAGACCACGCCCGGGCGAATTCCGGACACGTAGATCCATCGTGCGACAAAGTAACAAATAGACCACGCCCGGGCGAATTCCGGACATGTACATCTATAGTGCGACAAACTAACACAATTAGACCACGCCCGGGCGAATTCCGGACAAGTACGTCCATAGTGCGACAAACTAACAACTAGACCACGCCCGGGCGAATTCCGGACATGTACATCTATAGTGCGACAAACTCACAATTAGACCACGCCCTGGCGAATTCCGGACACGTAAATCCATAGTGCGACAAACTAACAATTACACCAAGCCCGGACGAATTCCGGACACGAAGATTTATAGTGCGACAAACTAACAATTAGACCACGCCCAGGCGAATTACGGACACGTACATCCATAGTGCGACAAACTAACAATTACACCACGCCCGGGCGAATTACGGACACGCAGATCCATAACAGTACATATCCGTATATTGCGACAACTAACAACGAGGCCAAGTCCGGGTCTCTAATGATGAAACAGTAACATTTAACTACAATGAACTGAAACACGGGTAACATTTCTAAACATACTCTCACGCTGTTTAAATAGGCAAATAAACAATAAAATGCGACATTATTTTTTTAAACGTCCAAATATGAACACTTGTTATTATTACTTCTTATAGTTACTTAGAGCAACAACAACAACAACATAGGATGTTTAACACCGTGGGAGGTAAGGAAACAGACATTTACTTTATATGCAGTTACTATTCTGTATTCAGATGATGAGAGAGAAATACAATATTTCCCTACGTTATCTTGTATGGAACAGGCTACTAAGCCTCAGACAAAAATAAATCAATAAAACAACTCCCATGAATCCCTATTTTTACCATTTATAGAACAAAAAAAACTTTTAAAGACATCGTAATATGAATAACTCCTGGTTGGGAATGAACGCGTACAAATCTTTGCTGAAGATCACCGACTGCGTCCTGAAGATTATTAAAAT